GATTAGAACTTACGTCTCTCTGATATTATATCTACATTTGAGTGAGGCGGGAAGGGTGATGTGGCATAACACAAGACAGAACAGGAGGGGATATTAATAGGGTATTAAAAGTATCAACACAAGACAGAACAGAAACAATGGGTATTGAATAGAAGTGTTTTGTAGAAAGCCTATTGGTCCATATTTCTTGATGCTTCTATATTGGAGCGGAGTCTTGAGGTGGGTAGAATATAGTTGTGCAATAATTGGCTGTTGATTGCTGGTGTTGACTTCTTGATGTGTAGTGCCTCGCAAACGTCAAGCCGCCTGCTATCGCTGTATCTATCGATGATTTCTGTGTTGTTTACTAGGATTTCTCTGGCGATGGTTTGGTTATGGGAAGAGATTATATGTTCCTTAATGGAGCCCTGTTGCTTATGCATCGTTAAACGCCTAGAAAGAGATGTTGTTGTCTTGCCTATATACTGGGTTTTTTGGAGCTTACAGTCCCCAAGTGGGCATTTGAAGGCATAGACGACGTTAGTCTCTTTTAAAGCGTTCTGTTTTGTGTCTGGAGAGTTTCTCATGAGTAGGCTGGCCGTTTTTCTGGTTTTATAGTAAATCGTCAGTTGTATCCTCTGATTTTTGTCTGTTGGGATAACGTTTCTATTAACAATATCTTTCAGGACCCTTTCCTCCGTTTTATGAGCTGTGGAAAAGAAGTTCCTGTAAAATAGTCTAATAGGGGGTATAGGTGTTGTGTTAGTTGTCTCTTCAGAGGTTGCATGGCTTTTCACTTTCCTTCTTATGATGTCTTCGATGAAACCATTGGAGAAGCCGTTATTGACTAGGACCTGCCTTACCCTACAGAGTTCTTCGTCGACTTGCTTCCATTCTGAGCTGTGGCTGAGAGCACGGTCGACGTATGCGTTAACAACACTCCTCTTGTACCTGTCGGGGCAGTCGCTGTTGGCATTTAGGCACATTCCTATGTTTGTTTCCTTAGTGTAGACTGCAGTGTGGAAACCTCCGCCCTTTTCCATGACTGTTACATCTAGAAAAGGCAGCTTCCCATCCTTTTCCGTCTCGTAAGTGAAACGCAGCACGGAACTCTGCTCAAATGCCTCCTTCAGCTCCTGCAGATGTCTGACATCAGGTACCTGTGTAAAAATGTCGTCAACATACCTGCAGTATATGGCCGGTTTCAAGTTCATGTCGACTAAGACTTTTTGCTCGATGGTACCCATGTAGAAGTTTGCAAACAGGACACCTAGGGGAGAACCCATGGCGACCCCATCTACTTGCTTATACATGTGCCCATCCGGGCTCAAGAAGGGTGCCTCTTTAGTACAAGCTTGGAGTAGTTTCCTCAGAATACTTTCTGGCATGTCAAGAGGAGTACAGGCTGGATCACGATACACTCTGTCGGCTATCATTCCGATTGTCTCGTCCACAGGTACGTTGGTAAACAGCGATTCTACGTCCAACGAGGCTCTTATCCCTGTGGCCCGTGTGCCCCGCAGTAAGTCCACAAATTCCTTTGGAGACTTCAGGCTGAAGGCGCAAGGAACATAAGGAGTCAGCAGGCCGTTGAGTCGCTTCGCCAGTCTGACGCCAGCCTTCACAACATTATATGGAGGACCTATGGCAATTCCACGACCAAGAGATGGCTTCCTGAACCTTGCAGGAATTAACCTCACTGAGGACCAAGTCACTCTCCTAAATCTGGGCATAAACTGTCATGTTATGTCCAGACCGAGTGAAATGGCCCGGAAAGTAGAGTTGGAAATTCTGTTGGACGACATATTCGACCTCGAGACAAAAGAAGGTCACTACCAAAGATACCTTACAAGCAGAACTTATTGCAGAAGGAGGAAAGAATCGAGGCAACTACAGAAGCACCATACTGTCCCCCGAGCTTAAAGCGGCAGCTAAAAGCCTTCGTGAGAACAAGGAGATAGTTGTCAGGAGAGGTGACAAGTCGCCAATATATGTCATTCTTAAAAAAGACGAATATCTGGCGAAAATGAACATCATACTCTCTGACCAAACTAAGTTCCAAAGGGTAACGAAGGACACTACAGCCGAATTAAAAGCAAAGGTCAACAAACTGATCGAAACTGTGAACGCCAAGAAATCCGGACTCCACCTGCCAAAGATCATTGGGGAATATAAACCTGGATATGCGTATGGAAATGTCAAGACGCACAAGCCTGGAAACCCACTTCGGCCAATCATTAGCCAGATACCCACACCCACGTACAGACTGGCGAAGCGACTCAACGGCCTGCTGACTCCTTATGTTCCTTGCGCCTTCAGCCTGAAGTCTCCAAAGGAATTTGTGGACTTACTGCGGGGCACACGGGCCACAGGGATAAGAGCCTCGTTGGACGTAGAATCGCTGTTTACCAACGTACCTGTGGACGAGACAATCGGAATGATAGCCGACAGAGTGTATCGTGATCCAGCCTGTACTCCTCTTGACATGCCAGAAAGTATTCTGAGGAAACTACTCCAAGCTTGTACTAAAGAGGCACCCTTCTTGAGCCCGGATGGGCACATGTATAAGCAAGTAGATGGGGTCGCCATGGGTTCTCCCCTAGGTGTCCTGTTTGCAAACTTCTACATGGGTACCATCGAGCAAAAAGTCTTAGTCGACATGAACTTGAAACCGGCCATATACTGCAGGTATGTTGACGACATTTTTACACAGGTACCTGATGTCAGACATCTGCAGGAGCTGAAGGAGGCATTTGAGCAGAGTTCCGTGCTGCGTTTCACTTACGAGACGGAAAAGGATGGGAAGCTGCCTTTTCTAGATGTAACAGTCATGGAAAAGGGCGGAGGTTTCCACACTGCAGTCTACACTAAGGAAACAAACATAGGAATGTGCCTAAATGCCAACAGCGACTGCCCCGACAGGTACAAGAGGAGTGTTGTTAACGCATACGTCGACCGTGCTCTCAGCCACAGCTCAGAATGGAAGCAAGTCGACGAAGAACTCTGTAGGGTAAGGCAGGTCCTAGTCAATAACGGCTTCTCCAATGGTTTCATCGAAGACATCATAAGAAGGAAAGTGAAAAGCCATGCAACCTCTGAAGAGACAACTAACACAACACCTATACCCCCTATTAGACTATTTTACAGGAACTTCTTTTCCACAGCTCATAAAACGGAGGAAAGGGTCCTGAAAGATATTGTTAATAGAAACGTTATCCCTACAGACAAAAATCAGAGGATACAACTGACGATTTACTATAAAACCAGAAAAACGGCCAGCCTACTCATGAGAAACTCTCCAGACACAAAACAGAACGCTTTAAAAGAGACTAACGTCGTCTATGCCTTCAAATGCCCACTTGGGGACTGTAAGCTCCAAAAAACCCAGTATATAGGCAAGACAACAACATCTCTTTCTAGGCGTTTAACGATGCATAAGCAACAGGGCTCCATTAAGGAACATATAATCTCTTCCCATAACCAAACCATCGCCAGAGAAATCCTAGTAAACAACACAGAAATCATCGATAGATACAGCGATAGCAGGCGGCTTGACGTTTGCGAGGCACTACACATCAAGAAGTCAACACCAGCAATCAACAGCCAATTATTGCACAACTATATTCTACCCACCTCAAGACTCCGCTCCAATATAGAAGCATCAAGAAATATGGACCAATAGGCTTTCTACAAAACACTTCTATTCAATACCCATTGTTTCTGTTCTGTCTTGTGTTGATACTTTTAATACCCTATTAATATCCCCTCCTGTTCTGTCTTGTGTTATGCCACATCACCCTTCCCGCCTCACTCAAATGTAGATATAATATCAGAGAGACGTAAGTTCTAATCAGTTGTGTATTTGTGAAGTCTTTGAAAATGTAATAAGTTTTACGAAACGCGCCCGTGTCGCGTCAGACTAGAAATAAAAATGAATTTTGGAGAAGTGATTTTTGATTTACCTCCAACAGTGAAGCGTAATGTACGAAAGATTGAGAAAATTCGTGTTAGAATTATTAATCTTACTTTTTCGGTCATATTTAATAATATATGTCTACAGGAAAGACTGCTACCAAAATATACTAATATATATATATATATATATATATATATATATATATATATATACATATATATAATATTTTAGTGTTCTTTAGCCCCTCTTATATGCTATAAGAAGTGAGAGCACAACTTCCTTTCAGTTATCACATGGGTGCCAGAGTGGAAAGTTGAATGCATTGTACTGCATTAAGCATTTTAGCTGTATTTTCTGCCTCAAGTGTGATTTTGTTCTTCACATTTCACAGTACCTGTCTCTTATGTCGGGCCTCGTAGCCTGGTGGATAGCGCGCAGGACTCGTAATTCTGTGGCGCGGGTTCGATTCCTGCACGAGGCAGAAACAAATGGGCAAAGTTTCTTCCACCCTGAATGCCCCTGTTACCTAGCAGTAAATAGGTACCTGGGAGTTAGTCAGCTGTCACGGGCTGCTTCCTGGGGGTGGAGGCCTGGTCGAGGACCGGGCCGCGGGGACACTAAAGCCCCGAAATCATCTCAAGATAACCTCATAGGCTTATGAGACATCGGGGTGTGCCAAACTGTGATGAAAATGACAAGTGGACACATACAAAAGAAGCTGCTGCAGCACCTCTGGCATCTGTAGACTCAAAGGGTGAACTCATGCTCTTCCCACCACCAGCTGAGAGGCCCAGTCCTATAATGATTGACCAAATATGCCCACTTGGGAAGGGGGGAAGGCAAGAGGATGCCATCAGTGAAAAGATGGCTGTAGCATTCTCAGTGATGTGGGAGGTATCTCTTTGGCACCATTTACTTTCTCTGGAAATGGTTGCTCTTACACACTTTGGTCAGTGTCTTATCTCAACTTAGATATGGGCACATACAAACATCAGGAATGTTTAATTATTACATCCAATTATACTCTTTTAAATACACACACATATAAATGGGGAAAATTCTTCTTCACAACCACCTTCCCTATTAACAATTGATTTCCCCACAGGTTTGCCAGCGCCAGAAGATCGAGGTAGCAGCGATTTCGTCCACAACAATGCTGATGAAGTACCTGTTGCAGTTTCTCCTGAACATTTCTTGGCAGAAACTAGTGAGCGGGAACCTACGCCTACGCCACCCACACCAACTCCACAAAAACCAGGTAAAATGGTTGTATGCATCGTTTACTCTTAATCTGTCTGCCATACTTATCGCCTAAGAGGAAAAAATAAGCATGGAACTTTTAAATAATCAATGGGAAACTGTTCTAAATAATAAAAACCCCACGCAAGATATAGAACAACTGACTGCCAATGCATATAAAGTCTGAGATATGTTCCTATGTGGAAAGCCACAACGAGGACCAGCATAATGCAGCCAGCACTATAGAAGAAAAAATAATGGAAATAGTTAAGCAGACACAACTATCCAAACAAAGAATGAATAATTGAAGCAGGGAGATTGAAGAAATAGAACAGATACCGAAGCAATCATATCAGATGGGAGAAATTCAATTAGAACAGCAAGCTATACAAGAGATAAAGAAAAATCCAAAATACTTCTTCACATATGTAAAATCAAAAGCCTCTGTCAGTATTGAACTTATACTGGTACTCTCCAGTGAAAGTTCATACAAAAGAGGATGACAAAAAAATTAGTGAAATCCTAAAAATGCAATATGAGAGCATGTTTAGCACCCCAATAAACAGAATGAAAGTGGAAGATCCAGACAGTTTCTTTATGCATGATATCCAAACCACTGAAAATATAACCAGTACTAAAATTAACTCTGCAGATTTTTAAAGAGAATTTGACAACATGCCCATGCACTCAGCCCTAGATCTAGATTCGTGCAATTCAACATTTATAAAGAAATACAATGTGCCAGTAGCACAAGCACTCATTGTAATGTGGAGAAAAAGCTGGGACACTGGGGAAATACCACAAGTGCTTATTAAATCAACAGACATAGCTCCCCTGATTGACACCTGATTGATGGGATTCTGGGAGTTCTACTCCCCAAGCCCGGCCCGAGGCCAGGTTTGACCTGTGAGAGTTTCCAGCAACATTTCTTATGCTCGCTGGGCGGGTGATGAACAACCGCGAACCTCTGATGTTTATACAGTGTTCTCTGATTGTGCCTATGGCACCCCTGCTCTTGACTGGTTCTATTCTGCATTTTCTTCTATTTCATTAACTCGAGTACGTTGTTATTTTACTGTGTAGATTTGGTACTTGGCCCTCCAGTATCTTTCATGTGTATATTATTATACTGTATTAAAATATCCTCCCCTATGTTAGAATTTTAAAAAGTTGTAGTTGGTAACTTTTTTTTCTTTTCTTAACCATTCATTGTCAATTAGTAAAGCAGTATCTAAAGTTTAAACTTGAGCAAATTTTCATGTGTTCACATTTTTTCACATTTTAGACTAATTATTGATACTCTGTCATGGAAAAAGACAACACACATATATAGCCTTCTTTCCCAGTACATTTCACTTCACCTTGAGGCATTTTATCTTAATTTTTTTTACTCTGGGAAGTGTTTTGTTTTACACTGAATTTTTCAAGTTTTTGTCTTTTTTCATAATTGTTAATAATGAACTTTGTATTCCTGCTTGTACTCTTCCATTCTCCCTTTCCATAAAATTGATTGTAAGTACAGTATGTCAATTACCAGCTCTTTGTACTCACATGTATTCGCAATTTTATCAACAATTGATTCCTGCAAATCTCCAAACCATAAAATTTATCAAACTCATTTTTAATGTATTCTATTTAATTAATAGGTTCTTTGGACCTTAGTGCTCCATAAACCCCAGCTCAGGCATACGGTTCTGTGGTAGTTACTAAATTTAATAGGTTCTACACGAAGAAAATAACTATATCTTGCATTCCTAATGTTGCCATAATTAAAAGTTGCAATAATTAACATCTGTGCAAAGTTTCTTCCCTTGGAAATGTGAAGCAACATTTTAGTAATAGTTACAATTTTGTCAACAGAAAGTTACCAGTTACGGCACAACAACCACTTGACAATTGTTCTAGAGGCCTTGGCACGTGATGAGAGTTTCATGGATGTTACCTTAACAGCTCAAGGACGCTCTCTTAAGGCTCATAAGGTTTGTTAGTACATTTTCTTTTGGCTATTAATATTATGAGCGAAGTTACTGCTCGTAAATTAAATATAATTTAGTTGTGTAGGATCTCCTGGGGGAATGGGAAGCTAATAAGTTCTTTAAAAATTATTGCATACAGTAAATAGTAGTGATGTGTCCCACAAATAGATTAATTGCAATGAGACTCCAACATTGAATGGAATTTAATGAGACATTTTTATGCTTTTTGGTATTCATTATGATCAACATTTTTGTTTCTACAAGCACAAATAATAGAATATGGTGTCATTAAATTTTTTGACCCTTTTTAGCACCTGATGGTGCTAAAAAAATAGGAGAAAATTATTTTTTTTTTACATTGTTAATTAGCATATAGGAAGCACAAAAATCCAAGAAAGTTAAGAAGTCTCTACAAGATGTATTAGTCTCTACATCTTGTGGTTTAGCTGTAGTGGCCTGGAGAAGTTGCGATTTTTTTGTAGACATGAGGCGAGGTGCCATATGGGAATAACTTTGTAGATTTATTTTCATTGTTTCTTGTTTTATTTTTATTTTTTTGTACTAATAGGTTGTATTAATGTGTCAAAGGCTAAATCTTATAATTGTACATAGCACACATTTTGCCTATAAATATAAACAGTACATTGTAATCATTCATTTGCTGTTGTTAAAAGTTAAAATTACCGATAGCTCATATCATACAGAGGTGCTATTCATAAATCTGCTCATCACAAGAATTATTATGGTTTTTAAAATATAAATTTATTTGTAATATCATTTTTCATTTCAGTCTGTGTTATCAGCTGTCAGCCCATATTTTCGAGGAGTTTTGCGAGACAATCCATGTCAGCATCCCATCATTATCATGCCTCGAGATGTGCGGTTTGAAGAACTTTTCAGCATTGTTAATTATATATACAAGTAAGTCCTAAAATATAATTTCCTATTATAGTGGTAATGTGAATGTTACTGCCTGTCATTCCATTGCTGGCTCCTGTTACCCTTCCTGCTAGCGATGGCTCCTGTTACCCTTCCTGCAAGCGATGGCTCCTCATACTCTTCTTGCTAGTGATGGCTACTTATACCCTTCCTGCTAGTGATGGCTCCTTATACCCTTCCTGCTACAGTAGTGACAACACCTTACACCCTTCCTGCTAGTGATGGCTCCTTATACCCTTCCTGCTACAGTAGTAACAACACCTTATACCCTTCCTGCTAGTGATGGCTCCTGTTACCCTTCCTGCTAGCGATGGCTCCTCATACTCTTCTTGCTAGTGATGGCTACTTATACCCTTCCTGCTAGTGATGGCTCCTTATACCCTTCCTGCTACAGTAGTAACAACACCTTATACCCTTCCTGCTAGTGATGGCTCCTTATACAATTCTTGCTAGTGATGGCTCCTTATACCCTTCCTCCTAGTGATGGCTCCTTATACCCTTCCTGCTAGTGATGGCTCCTTATACCCTTCCTGCTAGTGATGGCTCCTTATACCCTTCCTGCTAGCAAAGGCTCATCATACCCTTCCTGTTAGTGAAGGCTCATCATACCCTTCCTGCTAGTAATGGTTCCTCATACCCTTCTGATAGTGATGGCTCCTGTTACCCTTCTTGGTAGTGATGGCTTCCCCATACACTTCCTGGTAGTGATGGCTCCTCATACCCTTTCTGCTAGTCATTGTTCCTTACACTCTTCCTGGTTGCTTGATACCTGCAGTGATGGCTTCTTGTATACTTCCAGCTAGTGATGGCTCCTATTGCCTCTCTTTTCAGTGATGGCACTTATTACCTTGTCCTTCAGGAATGACTGCTATGCGTTGGTTTTGAGGATCAACGTCTCCGTGGCCCAGTCTCTGACCAGGCCTCCTGGTTGGTGGTCTGGTTCCTTATACCCTTTCTGCTGATGATTGGCCCTTTTCCTTTCCTGCTGGTGATAACTCCCATTCCCTTCCTGCGGGTGTTGGTTCCTTATACTCTTCCTGCTAGTGATGACTCATATTACATTTCGTTACAGTGATGGCATCAGTTACATTTCCTTTAAAGATAGCTTTTACCATTCTTTATTCCAGTGAGGTCTCCTGTTACTGTTCATTGTAGTGATGGCTCTTATTGCTTTTGTCAGAGTAGACTTACCTAAGCATGAGATACAGTTACTATATAGAAGTTCAATCCAACACATTTACTTTACATGTATCAGTACTGTTTATCAAGAAGTAAGCATCTCTATTAACTTGTTAATGTCTTATTTTTAAGTTACCTTTTATCTTACTGTCTCTCTACTGAAAAAAGCTTAAACAGTGTTTAGGGTACATGACCTTTTATATTTATATACACGAACCAAGCATTGATTAAGAATGAATTCGGTGTCTGTTAGTCTGAATTATTTTAAGTAACAAAATTCCATTGACATTGAAGGATGAGAATGTAGAAGATATACTTCACCAAAGGGTTTGGCTTTACAGAGTAACTACTTGAAATATTCTGACTACAAAGTGGGGTAATATGGTTAGCATCAAGAGTTTCTAAAATAAAATTCTTTATTTATATATATATATTGTAACAAAACTATAATTTGTGAGTTAATACAATATTACAAATAAATCTTTAATTTTATCAAAAACAATTATGAAAATACTGCTGCCAAATTACTTATACTGTTTTAATTGCAGAATATGTAATGAATTTATACATTATTTCAACAAATTTTCAGAGGGGAAATGACAGTGGCAGCGGAAGATTTAACTTCGCTTCTGAAAACTGCAGAGATTTTGCAGGTCTCGGGTTTAGCACCATCCGATTCCTCAGCCACTGTAAACCCTCACACTGACTGTTCAGCGACAGGAAATGCTCGATCGTCTTCTGCCTCTTCTTCCTCATCCTCTTCTAACCTTCCATCAGTATCCAGAACTTCAAGATTAGTTAAAACACCAACCCATCAAATGGCAACCCCACCTGCAAGACCCAAATCAAGAGACAGCATGATCAATCCCACAGACTTTATGGATGTCGACATGACGTGTGTAAAAGAGGTTAGTAACTAATACATTTTCTAAGTATTGTTTATTTTTTTTTATTATGTTGTTGTTCATATGTAATGTAAGTTTATTACCGGATTCCAAGATTCACAATTACTAAATACACATTAATTGTTTTCAATACTTTTATTTTCTCTAGTTATGCAATCCTAGAAGCTATCCACCATACCCCTCTCTTGAGAAAATCCACAAGAGCTGTAATGAGGGTTCGAACCTATGTGCTGGGTATTTAAGATGCACACACTAGACGACTGGGCCACAACACGGTCAAAAGAATTGTAACCTGGGATTTTGCTGAACCCACGAAGATTCCCGAGGCTTCCACTGAAGCTGAACCACGATTTCACACAATTTCCCCCATGCACTTTGGCTCTGTCATCTAGTGATTCTACCTTTGATGCCTCTTCCAATACACAGAGAAATCATAGATACATGATATATCAATGAGAAAATCAACATGAGCTGTGATGAGGGTTCGAACCTATGCACTGGGTATATTCCCAGATGTATGCTCTAGACAACTAGGCCACGTCAGGGTCAAAAGAATTGCAACCTGGGACTCTGCTGAACCCACTAAATAAATGTCATGGCCTAGTCATCCAGAGCATGTGTCTGGAAATACCCAGTGCATAGGCATCCTCCCAAATTTAAGGATCCTAGCCAAATACAGCCCCTAAGAAACAGAAGACTCTGGATTCCCAGCAGAAAGCAACATCTCAGCTGTCTCTGCTGCTAATGTGGAAGGGGTAAACCCCAGAGAAGGTTGAGCTACATTCAGAGCTAAACCCTGACCAGACTCCAATGACCCCAACAGCCTGGTTGACCAGTCCAGCAACGAGGAGGCCTGGTCGACAACCGGGCCGTGGGGTCCCTAAGCCCCAGAATCACCTCAAGGTAACCTCAAGGACCTAACAGAGGCAAGAAACTCACCCAAAGAGAAACAAGCTAACAAACAACATGTCATCACACCTTTTTTTTTTTTTTTTTTTTTTGAGTAAAGAGGAAGGAGAGGCATAGGTGAAGGGAAGCGCCGCTCATTTGCACTGACACCCCTTCCCCAGCCCACCAAGCCGGCAGCCGGACCGTCAGTTTGTTGACTGAAACTATACTGGGTGGATGCCTGCTCTTGCCTCGGTTGCCTGATTGGCTTAACAATCAGGTAACCGAGGAACACCCTGCTGGTGTTCTTTCTGTGTGTTGGCAGTGACCAGGAGTTTGTACCAAGGGCTGCATGCACTTAGGACTCCCTTCCCTAGGCGCCTTGTGAGTATGCCCTTTAGGGTTCAGAGTTCCCTTCTCTGGGTCCTTCGGGTCCCCCATTCCCGTAGGTGTAGTGACTGCTTGGTTGCTACCTCGCCCTTGGGGTCAGCTTAGGTCCCTGTACTTTCGTTTGGCCCTGAGCAGGGAGTGGTTGTTTGCTGGTTGGGGGCACGCTGGGCTACCCAGCTTACATAATCACAGCAACCGTGTTTCTTTCTTGTCCTCTGGGTTGTGGTGCTTCCTCAGAGTTCTCTTTCATTCTTTAGCTTGCTTATTGCCTGTTGGGAGGCCACCACAGTCCATATTAGGTGATACCTAGGATCAGTAGGGTGGACCACCTCTGGGCCTCCATAGTTGCTCACTTTACAAGGGCCAGTTTGCCCATATATATCTTATGGGGATACAACCTGCTTTGGCAGTCCAGCGCCTGAGCTTCCCATAGGGAAACAACCCCCTGGGGACCCTAGAAAACCCCATCGGGGCTAAGTTGACCGTGATGGATGAGTCTTCCAAGTTCCATCTCGCCTTGTGCGAGTTTGAGGGTTGCTCGTTGCACGTTTCAGGGTGATGATCGCCTGTACTGCCTCCGTCATGCTGCTTGTTGGGTCGACGACACCTTAAACCCGGAGTCTTGTGAGACTTGTTCTCTACTCGTACTCCACTTTATCTATACTGCTTCCGTCGAGGTTAGGATTCAAACAGCTCATGCATTGCATACTAGGTTTAGGTTACTACAACGTGCCTGGTTGGTTGTCCTCTTTCTAATGCCCTGGGGCTGCCCCATTTTGATTATAGGGACCCCGAACCTGGGGGGAGTTGGTCGCTTTGACCTTGGTTCCGTCCGCACCCCTTTGTCCTCCCCTTGCTGGTGTGGTTCCCCAGCAAGGTAAACTGAGAAAGTATCCTGTACTGAGAAAGTTACTGTGTGTGGAGAACACTTCTCTTGATAGACCCCAATGTAATTTATTATTGAGGAAGAGGAGGAATTTGAATTTCAAATGTTTTGCTAGTTGAGTTTCAAATATATATTATTAGGCTGTCTTGATAAAATCCAGTGATATGATTTCTTTCTATTGCAGGAAGTTGAGAGTGCAGATGATGAAGAAAATGAAGAACAAATTTCAAAAGAATCCTCTTTGCAGACTCCTGGAAATGTAGGGAAAGGTGATCAAGCATTGCAACAGAGCTTATCAGCATTTTCACCATCACATGATGCAGGCCTTGAACAACCAATAGCTTCTACCAGTTCAACTCATGATACTGCTCCTTCCCCATTACCCATAAAATCTGATCCAGAAACAGATATAAATTCACAGGCAAATCTTACGACAGAAGATCCACATCCTTTTGTATGTCCACATTGTCAAGAGCATCACAGAGATAGGGAAACTATGATTACCCATTTGAGAGTCAGGCATCCCACTAAACCCAGTTTTACATGTGGATGTGGTCGTGTATATACTCGGCAAATGCACCACCAGGCCCATGTAAGAGTTTGTTCTAGTTCACCTTAAATTCTAGAGTTTGGTATCAACCTAGAATTTTATTAAATGTTTAATAAAATTTAATTGCTGTAACATCCAATCAGTCATTATTTATATCCATCTTTAATGCTACAGTCAAAGGATAAAAATGTTAAGGTAAACAGTGGACCAGCTATGCCTAAGGGAGATGCACTAGACCCTTTGATACCCACAATTGTAACCAGAAGCCAAGACCAGAATCTGGCTTTGAGACAAGTGGAATCTTTCGAGAGCAGAGACCAACCCAAAACCAAGAAAAGAGTACAGTGGTACCTTCGTTTTCGTAGTTAGTCCGTTCCCAGAGACGGTACGAAAACCGAAACAAATTTTCCCATAAAAAATAATTTAAATTGAATTAATCCGTTCCACACCCCCAAAAATATTAAATAAAATTACATTTTATACAGAAAACTACTCATAGGTGTACCTTACCTTTATGGAGGACTCTTGTTGGCCTATGGAAGACGGGGAGGAGGAGGAGGCGAGGTGCTAGTGTTTGGAAGGGGAGTCCCCCTTCTATTGTAACATCAGGCAATGATGATATTTCTGGGGTACTCTCTTACATTTTGCAGGCATACCACTAGGACCTGGTTGTGACTCACAGCTTACTTGTCTTACTAAGGATCTGTCTATAGACACTTGTTTTTCCCCACATTTTAACACTTGTCTGTAGTGAGACCACATTATCTTACTATGAATGATCTCTTGTTTTCTTCTATCGTCATCCTCACAACTATTTTCTTAGGTTGAACATTACCACTGACTTTCTTGGAACGCATGGCGTGATATACAATGAGAACTTTTATGTTCAGAAACCAAAAAAAAGCACAAAAACAATGAAATTCTTCACAAAAAATCCAAGTGCGATCATCACTAGGTGGGAGACACTGATAAACTGAAGTGCCACGCTTGTGGTGGACCTGTGCGCGTATAAACAAATTATGACCTCCGACACAAACTATGACTACCGAATCTAGAAATTTACTACGAGAACAGGGGCCTACGAGAACCGAGGTTCCACTGTATTGGCAAAACAAGCAACTTCTTGAACGAAATTAGGCATCCAACGGTAACAAGGCAAATTATCATTATAGTGATGCAAAGACATTAAATAGCTGCACCTGACCACCACTAGAGGCAGCAGCCTATGTCATGCGGGATCCCCCAAAATGCACTCCCTCACTCACTTGCCTGGTCACAGCTTCAGGGGAACAAAACCTCTGGAGCCCATCCTTAGCTTCACACTTAAGCCCAGTGATGTTGGGTATTTCTGGAACATTGTTCTGAAGGGGTCATTACTTTGTGATTGTTTCCTCTACCTTGATAGTTGGCTTATGTTTTGCCTGCCCCACCAGGAGTACCTGCTTTATAGTGTTTAGGTTCCTTCTTTACAGGCTTATATCACTAGCATATTTCTTAAAAGATAGAGCATGGAACTTGTTCTCCACTGTGAGGCCTATTAATAAATGCAGTAATACACTGTGTGCTTACCTGTCTAACCACTTGGACTGGACGGTAGAATGATGGTTTCGCAGTTCCTATCAGGTCTAGGTCTTAGCAGTTCAGTGTTCAGTCCCTGACCATCCAAGTGGTTGGGTATCATTCCTTTTCTGTCCCATCCTAGCCCAATCACTTGGGCTGGACAGTAAGGTGAAAGTCTTGCTCCATGCAGGTTGGTGTTCTAGCCCAACTAGCCAAGTGGTTGAACACCGTTCCTTCCCCCCCTGCCCCCGTCTCATCCCAAATGCTTATCCTGATCCTTTCCAAGTGCTATAGTCATAATGGCTTAGTTCGCTCTCCTGGTGGTTCCCTTCCCTTCCGCCCTATCCTAAATCCTTATTCTGAAATCCCTTCTAAGTGCTACATAGTCATACTGGCTTAGCGCTTTACTGCTGATAATTATCTTACCTGTGTGCTTACTTATCAGTGACTATGGCAAAGTATGTTAAGAATGATTTTTTCTTCTCTAAAGCCATGTGGTGCCTTTATTATAAAATGTTAATGACACTGGCCAATAATGTTTAATGCTTCATGTATGTCCTCCCTTTCTTGAATATTGAAACTACATGTCTCTAAATTCAGATGGTGCTCTCGTGTCTAATGTAGTGCTGTAACATACTGTGATTGCTCTTAGTTCTGTTCCTCTGCAATTCTTGAGGCTTTGTGTTTTTTCCTAAGGTGCATTTGGGTTGCAAAAGTTCTTGGCCAGGGTTGCCTACACTTTCCTTATCTGCGGTTTATGATTTGGGGTTGGTTCACTTGAAATGCTTCCCTCATGCCTAGCAAGAGTGCCTGTCAGTGTGACAATCTGAATGGTTTTCTGTGCCCCCTCTGGGTGTTTCCTCTAGCTAACATTTTTGGTTGGGTTGTTTTTAATGATAATGATAATTATCATTATAGCCCTGATAATTCCTTCCCTTCCCTCTGGTCCCCAAGTTTTCCCCTCACTTCATAAAATGAACTAGATTCTGGGCCTAGCTCCCAGTAAGCAAGGGTGGGGTCTAAGAGTCCTGATGCGTCTCTCTAAGGCTGGACTGGCATTTAGTTTGGGGAGCTGCCAAAGACCCAACCAGCAAGGCTTGTTTCATTACATTCAATGCTCGATTTTTGCGGTGTATCATAAGAGATAGCTCTGGTGAGATCATGAATTCTAGTACTGTATGGTTATAACAAGACTGAGTAGGTAGTTGTGAGATTTATTGACTGGAAATGCCGTTTAATTCGTACAAAGATGCAGTTAAATAAAATACTGTAATTATTGTATAAGAATTTTCACTTTAGTGAAAACTCAAGTACAGTACTGTATATCAATGTTTTACTTAATTTGAAACGTTGGAATAAAATGAAATTAACCTAATTCCATTTTAATACAGAAATTAACAGTGTTTTAGTTTTGTTAAATGTTCATATGTATAGTGTACTAAACTGATAAAAAATAAACAAATCTGAGTACTGTACCTGTATATACAATGTGTAAGATAAAGAAAGTAACATTGCCCAGGATGTAAGATAAAGATTTTCTGTACTTGGCCAAAAGTTATTTTATTTTCATGAATTGTATAAATGTGTTAAGGCTTGCTGCATTTGCATTATAATTTTAGATTCTTTTCTTAATGCAGATGCATCAGGTGCTCTTTTTTTATTTTTTTCTCATTCTTGGATATCTTAAATTTTCTATTTTAAGTAAATTTTCATAAAGAATAGCTTTATTCCAGCCAAGATAAAATTTCATAAATGTACAAATTACTGTATAATAAAAACTAAAGTTAATGGGAATAGTTTTATTGAATTGTTCCAGTGAAGAGATGTCATGTGTATTATAGTAATTGTATTATACTATCATTACACAGTATACTATTATACACAGTATTATAGTAATTGTTCATGACAGATGTGTGTCAAATTATAGAGAAAAAGATTTTATCAAAAGTTTATTTTTGTATATTAGATAGTGGTTGTTTTTGTAGTGGGTAAACTTTTAAAGATTATGCATGATTTTTAATAGGAAAAGCTGCTGTCAGATGTGTTTGTCCTGAAAACTCCATAAGAAAAGGGTTTAGGATATAGTGTTGTTTCATCATGTAATGATTATTCCCTAACCCAAAACAGACCAGCAAGGGAGATACAGTATACTAATTGTAGTGCTGCAATACTGTATACAGTACATACCGGTCCGTATTATTACCCAAATCTACCCAAATCCTGCTAGCATTACATAAGTAATGAAGAAATATGGTATATTTACTCATGATAATGTTGGTGCTGAATTCAGAACATGATCAAATCTATTTTTACTCTGAAATAATCTAATTTTATAATGAAATTAGAAGTAAATATGTAGCAGGTGACACCTGCTATAATGCAAAGGACATGTAAACGCCATGCCTGGCATTTACACTGCAAATCAGGCATGACAGGGTGGGTCTCATTGAAATTTTAAAAATACTTAACAATTGGGAGGATGTTGATCCAGAAAATTTCTTCAATTCAGATTTAACACAAACAAGGAGCAACGGTTTCAAGCTCGACAAGCCACAATGTAGAACTGAAAACAGGAGAGGCTTCTTCACCTACTGGGTTACAAACTCAATGGAACTGCCTACCCGCCAAAGCCGTAAATGTCAACATTCTGTTAACTTTTAAGGTACAACTGGAAAAGATCAAGGCAAATAGTGGGGACCTTCGACAAGGAGCCGGTTTCCTGTCTCCCCCTCCATTTGCCTTGATGATCTTTTCCATTTATAACAGTTTTGTCATTTACGGCTTCGGCGGGTAGGCGGTTCCATGGGTTAATAACCCTGTGGGTGAAAAAGCATCTGTTGTCAGTCCTACATTGTGGCTTTCCATTATCTTGTTGAGCCTAAAACTTTTATTCCGATTTTTTTTAATTATATACATTGAATGATAGTATTACATCATGTTTTGTACTATATTAAAATATATTACTCTGAAAACCGAATCAGTCGTTAAACAAAATATTAGGCAACTTTAATTACAAATTCGCGACTGTTAGACCTTCAGCTCGCTACTTTTAGCAGTTGAGTTCTGACAGCACTGTCCTGTGTGTTGCTCTTACAGTCAGATGCAACACAAATAAGCACCCCGCGATAGCAGCCACAGACTGACGATTTAAATGCGAGAACAGCACGCAGTATATCCTTTCACGACCAAAGATCATATTCACTCCAAAAAAAAAAATCTTCCACTTACGGGCTATTCATGTCTGTGCCACCTCTTGGGTTGCTTAATCGTCATCAATCAATCACAAACAAGGAACAACGATTTCAAGTTCAACAAGCCACAACTTAGGGCAGAAAACAGGAGATTTTTTTCCCCCATGTGGGGCATAACAATGCACAACTACCAAATCATCAACATTATCTTGGAGTCAGAATCCACCAATCACTGATAGTTGTACAACAAGTGGAAGCTGCAGTTATAAAAGCAAACCCAATCCTAGGAATAGTCAAACGAAATTTTGACGAAGGAAAAGGTAGTTATACAACTGTATAAATCTCTGGTGTGCTTCCACTTGGATTATTATATCCACGCATTGAGACC